AGTTTAACTTACAGTTTATTCAACTCAACTGTCTCCTCTCCACAGGTATCTTTCCATGACTGATAAAAGTTCTGTTTTCGATTCCTGATAAGGCCATACGCACCAATCATTTAGTAGTTTCACAATAAAACGAGCCAACAATCCAATCTTCTCTGGTTTTAGATGCTTTCAATATTGACGTTAGACTGTCATTAAAATCATCCACAATTTAAAATCACCACCCTAAATTGGCTTAGCTATAAACCAACGTTTACATCAAGAACTGATTTTAGTTAAACCACTATCGAAGATCAGGAAGTATTCAACAAGTGATTCGTTATAGAGTAGAAATTCTTAGCAGTGTGCATCCGCTATCTTGAACAGAGAGCAAACCCAAGACCTTCGATCTTGAATGCCAACGTTTAACCCTCAAAACTTGTTGACCGGAATTCAATGGCAAATATATCTAATTTAAATCATGTCACGACATTGTGTGACCATCTTTTTTTCCTTGCAGTAGATAACTGTCTCACGCATGACACAATTGAACATTACTTTTTAAGGCCTCTCACTAGAACACCCAGATTTGGATTTAGAGGTTTAATTCTTGTTATGTAAACTATGAAAGGATTACACGATTGTAATGAAAATAATAAATGAATGTAAATTTGTGTGATATAGTAACAACTAAAATCAAATTAATAAGTGAATATAAATGAGATTGTGTAACAGATAGAAAAAAATTGGACTAAATGTCATTTGATTGTTGTTACACTTACTATGACAAAGATAGTTTTATTACCCTTTTCTTCTATACGCATAGATCAGCTTGAAAACATTCAATCACAATTACTTCTGAAAAATGGAATAAAACTGATGTTGGTTGTTTGGCAAATATTTTGAATATGTGACTGATTTTGACTTTATATTCACCATTTATCAGGTGCCTGATAATTACACTCGTGAAAACTCTACTCCGTTTGAGGTATAAACTCATCAAAATGTGTTTAGGAAACCTGGTAGAAGGACTTCCAACAGTCCTTCGTACAAAATTGCTACCACAATTACATGTAAACACCTATATACCTCTAGAGGTGATCTCTAAAAAGCCTACCAAAAAAGTGGTGTTATACAGTTAAACTAAATGAGCTGTACGAAAACTTCTTTTCATTATCACCTTAAATCTTTCGTCAATTCTTCTTGAAATCATATCTCCTCTGAAAGGAGGACCTGTGCGAACAAGATTTTTGTAGAAAGCTGAATGTTTTTGGTCTTTAAGTTGATCCTTTACATTTCTTCAATATCCATTTCGTATAGTTTTCTTTTTCGTTAATTTTCAATTCATCTCTTACTCTGTTGTTTAAACATGTTATTCTCGCTCTATAAACGAGAGTTTTGGCAGACACCGTTAATAAATTGCAGAACAGAAGCTACCATAATTATAAGATTATTCTGTCAACATTTCTTTCTTGTACATTATTATTCATGTTTCGTTTTAAAATTCGCATGAGCATTATTGATGTAACAAAATAAACAAGAGAACTAATATATATTAAGGTAGCACTATATACCTAGAGTACTGTGTTGTAATCTGGGTTTCATAAACTAGGTTCAATTCTAAATATAAACTTCCCTAACTAAAGTATTTTAAACCTTTTTCATAATTATATTAAACCTTATAGGTTTAAGTTGTTTGTAGCTGATTAGAAGCCATGAAATAGAATGAATTAATTTTATTTTGATAATTCAATTGTAATTACGCTGTTTATTATCATATCTATAGTTGTTATCGTTTTGTAATTCAGTTGTAGTGTTGTGAATGACATTCACAAGATTGCTTGTAAATAGTATGTAGTGGAATGTGGCCTTGAAGTTCTCATATTCATCAAACAAATTGAAGATTTTTAGTATATCGAAAGCACAGAGTAGACAGGACATTTAATGACCAGACTAGAAGACAATTTAGATTGCGGAACACACCGTGAGATGTGAATGGATATACAAAAGCTACGTATACGTATTATGTAAAGGCTTTGTAATTTCTCGTAATAAGTAATACTCACCCGTTGTCTTGTTCATCACTCGTACTAATGAGAAGAGTTGTATGTAAATAAATAGTCTGTCCAAATTGTCCTTCTTATATTTAGAACTCTGGAATTTTTAAAATAAAGTGACAATTCTATTAGAGCGGTAAATTACAGTCCAAATTTGATACAAAACTGTCTGTAAATAACTACAAAGCACTAACTATGTAATCGATGATTTGTAAAGTGGTAGTTGAAGGTAGTAGATAAGAAACCCTGGAATTAGGTTTCAAGCTACCCGACCCAAAACAGTAATAGGTACTTGTATTGTTGAGAGAAATGATGCCCTATAATGGATTTGACTCCATGTCTGTTAGCTTCACAGTCAGAGACGTTACCACAGAGCTTTTTGGGACATGACTGACCTGATGTAGCACTGGACGATTTATCTTCAATTGACTGGTCATTGAGTAGTGACCAATGTCATTCATTTCAAGTCCTTTATTGGCTAAAATCTCAAACTCGCATTATCCCTGAATTAAATCCAATGTCAATTGCATTGATACATTGATTAAAATTAACTAATACTTTCTATTTAGTTTTATTGAAAATCTATGATCACATAACGTTCATAATTTTGATTATGAAACGAAGAGCAGCTATAGTGATAATATTTGTTACATCACAATTAGCAAAAATAGAAAAAAATAACATTTGACACATTTATTACTTGAATGTTTAGTTCATTATAGGTGATTAAGTCCAGGGAATGTTAGTGTAAGGGTTTCATATAGATAACTTCAATGTTTGCATTACTGACTGAACTTAATTAGACAACCACTGAAAACCGGAAAGAACTGAATAACTATTTCGTTCTTCTATAGTACGCCTTAAAAATGTGTTTCTACGATCTTATGGGGCATGTAACTCAGGATACAAAGCTTTCAAGGTGAGTGCTTTCGACCTTTGAAACATTGATTCGACAATCAATTCACAATGTCATGCAATCATCTTTTTATGTCATTGGTTTATAACCTGCACATATTTCATATAGTCGAACCTCACTGTTCAGAACTTCCTATTTTAACTCGGGGAATCACCACTCAAACTAAATTCCTATTGCGCACATACGATGAGGGGTGTGTATATCTTAAAAGTTCCATACTACCACTAAACAACTGTCTAGTAATTTCTGATTTTCAGAGGTTTTCGAACTAAATTTAGCTTGTAATGTAAACTATCACATATCAATTATCTTCTCATCATTTTACCTTTACAACTTTATCAACATCAATAATCAATTCAACGTTATTATTCTGTAATTAAACATAAAATTAAAGCAGTTACATTATAAATTCTCATAAGATATAATATTTTCTTTAAAAAATATCTAAATCATCTAAAAGTACCTCTAATTTTGAACAAACTAATGTTTTCTATAGAAGACGAACTTCCATTAATTTATTATAGATGGATGAAAATACTTTTAAATATCTAATAAACTTTTACAAGTCTTCTTTGTTAACCATTATTCATATCTGTATATGACATATAAATAGATTCAGTTAATAATAGTCGAAAACAAAACAAAAAACTTTCTATATTCATCAAAATGTTTGAAGTAAAAAATCTATGATATTTTGTTTGGTACCCCTTTAATTCATCATTCTCCTCCTCTTCTTCTTCATCATCATCATTAATACCAAAATAAATAAATTATTTATTGAGTATATAAAAAAAGTTGATTTTCATTTCATTTGTAAAATAAAAATAAACATTTGTTTACAAAATAAACACATAAATTTGATTTTATGCTTACAGTTAAATGTCAGTTAAAACGTATAACAAAAAAAAACAAAAAATAAAAAAAGAATAATTAGTCACAGAATTGTTTTCTTTACTTCTCTATGACATGATTTGTTGATGTTTTCATTATTGTTCCTAAGTATCAAGGAATACGACTGATATATATATATATATATATATATATATATATATACTTCTGTGTGTGTGTGTGTTTTATATCTTATTATTCCTGTAAAGTATTCTTGGAACTATTTATTAGCTGAAATAAAATTAATAATGTATTATTTAAGTAAACGGAAATTTATTTCACCAAATATCTTTCAATTCATGTCATAAATTAACTTGGTATTTTGTAACAAGAAAGTTTTTCTTTTTGATTTTTTTAATGACGGAAAATAAAAACAATCCATAGTTGTTATAAAAAAAGAGAAAGGAAACGAAAAGAAAAATTGTCATAATATGAGTAGTTTTCTGGAAATAAATGTGTGTATTTTTGATTGAGAATATTTTTTTGGAATAGAAATTTTATACAATTGATTCATCTGACTTTAAGTTAGATGATTACGAATAGTATATAATTGATTGATCACCGGGTGATGATCAATGTCAAATATGTTAGATCCTTCTTAGTGCAGATCGAATATTATCGATCAAGTTGTAATGTGGCTACTAGTTTAGGTGACTTCACATTCAGTGCACTATGTTAAAATAAGATGAGAGTAGAAGGCAGCCAGCAGAGAATCTTGGACTTAAGTTTCGTACTACTTGACACTCGTCAGCAAGATGTAATTGTACTTTTGAGTGAACTGATTCTCTTTAACGAATTGGATCCCGTGTCACTCATCTTCGAACAGTATTTGGAACTTTAAAAATTAATAGTAAACAATGAACATTTTATCGGGAAAGCTAAATGTAATGAGGACTCAAAACTTGTTGGATATACATTTTTCTACAGTTTGACCATACTAAGAATATTTGTCTCGCAGTGGCATCAGTTCATGTTAACATCCATTTGAAATAATATAAAGATCATTTAGTTGATCATAATGTCAAGAAATCAATTGAAAAAAATGTAGTTAACTCAGTTGAATATACATTTCCAAAAATATATTGAATCTTTTTTTAACCAACCAATAAATTATTTGTTCATCATACATACTACTTATTTTTTCTTGTTACTCTGTATTTTAGAATTCCGTTCTTCTCGGTTATATACAGTGTACTGTTGGCCGTGTGATCCATAGTGGTGGTGAACTAATTTTACCAATAACGTAAGTTAAAGTAATAAATTTTGTTTTAATTTTGTAATTCATATACTTATAAGTTGTCTTAAAATAGTTAAAATGTTTTTAAACCAATTGTTTTTGAAGCAGACTTTTGAAATAACAGTTTTATAAAGTCAAGATCAAGTTGTAGGTGATATTCATAACAAAGTGATACCAATTTATGTACCATTAAAAAATAAGTAAAACAAAAGCAGATGTCGTCCCAAGAAATGACTTTTCTGAAATGTTCAGTTATCACGTTACCAGGGTCAAACTGAGAACTTAAAGGTTTGATGGAAAGTTTCAATAAACTGCCAAGTTTCTGTTCAACGATATACATTTTCAGGTTCAATCAATTTGTGATACAATGTAGTTATCACAAAATATCAATAGTCTTTGATACACATATCACTGTATGCTGACAAAGTACTTTGTACATGATTTAATGTCCATTAGGGTTGCAGATACACACTACTGTTCAGTAGTTTCCGATCATTAATCATACCCAAAAATAATGTCAATTAGTTGCAAATATCACTAGCATGTTTTGAATATAATCTTATAAAAGATAGATAAGGCTTGATTTTTAAAAGTTTGAAAATAGTAGTAGTAGCATAATGAAACAACCAAACCATTTTCTCTAACTTTATGATAATGAACATATGACTTGACCTATCAATCTTTTATTTTCAGAAACGAACTCTGTCATTGTCTTCAATGACTATCTCGAATCAGTGGACTAATGAATAATGCGCTGGTATTTTAAGAAATAGATACTACCATTCATTTTTAGTCTTAACATCAACATTAGGGCTCATGCGCATCAACATCACTGCCGACGAATCAGAAAAACTGATAACTTTCGATATACGTTGTGAGGGATAGGCATTTTGGTGACCACGGTTAGAATACGAAAGCTATCATAAGTATTTTCTCAATACTGAATACCTGATTACAAAAATTAATCCACGACAAAATTTGAAAATATTCCATGTATATATACTAAGGCGGTTTCTGCAATAGTTAATATTTTCGACCGCGAATTTCTCCTGACTGTACTAACTTCATAGCGTTTCAGTTTGCATGAAAACTATGCTATATATGACATTGATGACTAATCATATTGTACTCGACATGCATGAATATCATAATAATTACGCTTCATTCAGACAATAAAACGAAATATCAGAAAAAAACTCTACCAACTACTAAGATGTCACTGCTTGAGTTTTATAATATTCAGCAATGAAACTTATTACTCTCATTTTATCAAAGTGGATATGTAGATAATGTACTAAATGAAAACAGACATGGTCTGTTTGAGAAATGAGACGTTAATTGACATCACTTGTTAAGACTCATCAATAAGAATACTGTCATTATTTCTTTATAGAATAACGTCCCACTTATTGACCAATTACAACCTCTAACTGGCACGATTAGAACTCCAGTTGATGCCTAGATAACCATAGCTCCTAAGGATTCAGAATATATATCGTTCTATGTTAGTATCAAGTCCGATATGAAAGATAAGCTTTTACGTACCTTTATTTTAAACAACCAATCTTTATTACTCAAACGATTATCAGTTTCTATATATAAGTTATTAAACCACAACACACCTCAAATGACAAATCATACTCAGTGGACACTTAAACTATATTTGACGCAGAACCGAGTAGAGTATAGAAATACAATAATCCAATTATCGAATAACTTTACAACAAAAATATAAACATTAATAATCTATAAAATAATTCTGAAGATCTCAACCTCTCTAAATCTTCTCCTCATTACAGTAGTCACTAAGTATGTATGTTAGTTTATCAGGTAAAATAAATCTAAAATATTAAAAACATATTATTCCCATATATTTTAATCAGTAGTAAATATTATTTCACAAAAAAATATAATCAACTAATTGATCACACAAATCATCATCTATTTACTATTACAAGACAACTTATATTTATTGATTTCAATAGTTGAAATCATGAGTCATTTGAAGCTAGTATAACGGTTAAACCCCTTCTGATAATAATCATTTACTCACTATTGACTGATTTAAAAAGACACTCATGGAGTTCTAGTGAGAAGCCGTTACCAGTGGAGTTCAACCAGGTCTGTTGTGAGATATCATCTCACTGAAAACTATGGTGACGGTGGTTCAACTTCTTGGATTGGTTAAAGTTAAACATTAACACCGTTGGATGCCGGCCAGCTCAGTGGTCTAGTGGCTAAGCGCCTGGCGCGAGACTGATAGGTCCTGGGTTCGAACCTCGCGGGGGGCGGGATCGTGGATGCGCACTGCTGAGTAGTTCCATGCTAGGACGAATTGGCCGTCCAGTGTTTCCAGGTTTTCCATGGTGGTCTAGCTTCAATTGACTCAAGATTTCAATTATTTAAATTAGTAAAATCTCTACAAAACCCCTTCTGATTATATTTATTAATAAAAAACATAAATCAATCATTATAGGCGTCAAATATTAATTTCATTTATAATTAACTTCAAGCGTAAAATAATTCAAATAATTTAAATTTTTATAAGCGCCAAATTTAAGTAGTAACAAACATTATTTTTAAAAAATAATAGTCAAACAATATAAATATGATATTCTTTTAAGTTTAATTGAATAAAACAATTTCATATCTTTAACTAGATACAAACAAATATATTAGAATATAGAATAGTTCATTTTGAATGACAAGTAAATATTTGTATCAATAAATAAATAATAAGAATAAATTGATAAGTAATTTAAAGGAATGAAATATCTAGAATTAAGAATATTCAATTTATACCTATTAACTGTTATTATCGTTTAATTCACTTGATATTGTTTTACTTGAATCTTCCCATTGATGTTTAGGACTGCAATTGATCAGTCTCTTATTGGCATATGTCCATACTGTGCGTATTGCCTCGATATTGCCTTATAATGTTACTATTGTTGTTTAAAATTGTTAGTGAGGAATATTATCAATGATTTAGAATACAACTGATGAATCATGATAAGCAATAGAATCTAAGATACTAGTTTCGTCTAATATGAGATTTATTAGTTATATAAATATATATATATATATATATATATATATATATATATATATATATATATATATATATATATACCTGTTGATGCTCATATTAGAATTGAAATCTAGTATTATTCATTTTATGTGCCAACTTTTTATGTACTAAACTATTTACTTTAAATAAACACAAATGTACTCAAGGGATATCACAAATAAAAAAGGGTTTAAATTATCTCGTCAATATTTATGACAAATTTTCTACATTCAAATAGAAACTCTTTATATAGTTTTAACCCTCAATAAAAACAAATCATCCAGTTTATCAACAATGGGATCCCAAGTAAATTATATATTAAATTGCAAGCATTATAAGCAAAAATGGATAGTGGCTAGCAGTGGAATAAAGGACGCGCGTTTCGTCCTATTTATTACTCGTCAGGTAGATGTACCTGCATCACTCGAACACAGTACTGTTCGCTTCAAATGCCATCACGGTATCCATTTAGCCTATGAGTTCTGATAGTTATTTGTTTGTGCAATAGGATGTCGTTCAAATTCACTTCGTATTGCTTATTTGGATTTTCTCATTGAAGTAAACAATACGAAGTGAATTTGCATATTAAATTGTATAGTTTTTCTTTGAAATGATAAGTTCGTTTCCGAAATATTTCTAAATGACTAATTCATTTAGTAAATAAATAATAAATTTTCTAAACACAATTTATGAACATTTGAAAGCGTATTTCTGATAGAAAATAACAGTTAAATTGAATGACATATATATTCTGTCCTACTAACTAATTTTCAGTAAGAAGTTGTGAAAATTGTTGAATTTAATTGAACTCATGAGGCGATCAATTTTAGACTACCAATGATAACCTAGTAGCATTTGACTGCCGTTTCCTCTTAGTATGGGTCTCCTCAGCAGTGAGCATCCACGGCCCTGCCCGCAGGACTTGAACCCTAGACCTTCGGTTTCGAGCATGAACGCTTAACCTCTAGACCACCAAGTTGGCACTCAACAGTGTCATTGTCTAACTTCAATCAATCTACGCGATTTCACGACTATTGTACAACCCCTAACTGACAGTTATTATTTGCTCACTAGTGAAATGCTCTGGAGTTTTAGTGAGAAGCCGTGATCACATGAGCTAATTCATGTCATGTGTAAGGAAGTTACCAGTTGAAGACAATGGAGAATGGTTGTGGTGACATACTGCTGAAAAGACACATACTAGGACGAAACGGCCTTCAAGTGCATCCAGGTTTTCAATGTTGGTCTAACATTGACCGCTTCATGATTTCAATAAAATAATAACTAATCGTTAACATGAAAACATATATTTAGAGCCAGCAACGCAAATTAGTCTTAGACAACCCTTAGAAAACAAAAAGCACAGGCATGTTATTGTCCGTGTTAGTTATTGTCTAACTAAGTTTAGCCAATAATATAAACTAAAAAATTAAACAACCTCAGCAACTCTTTGCCCAGTTACTACTAGATATCAGTTCATTTTATTTTGGACGAAAACAGTGTATGAATACACATAATTCTTTTATTATTACTTCAACATTGATACATAATCACTTATATTTCATTTATAATAAAATCGCATTGTACAAATAAAAATTATGTTAATCTTGATTATCAATTTACATTCAACTGATAAACACAGAGGCGTGTACTTGTGTATAAACAACGTGTAATTATGAAGTTTCACCCCCAACATGATCCACATTTGATTTTATTCTATACTCAACTTGACCTTTATTTTAGGCAATAAAATAAATGAAAAGTATAAACGGGACTCAGATAATATCGATTAGTGTTACCTTTCCTATTATATATGTTTTTTCAAAATGTTATTTGTGCACACGAGATAACTTCTGAATAAACCCTAATGTTAACTATGTAAAGGTTACTAGTAGAAACTAGTAGAAACATTCATCATGTACCTTTCTTTCCTTTCTGTAATTGTAATCTGTTGTTAATAAATGAAGGCGGAGAAAAAAATGAAAGTAGTAGTATCATTGTTCCCTTTGAGTATTTTTTTAATCAGATCAGTCCAATAATCTATTTTTTCATATATATATATATATATATATATATATATATATATATATATATAATTATGACTTATAAACAGTAGGTGTTTTAAATAAATTTGGATCATAGATAAGAGAGAAATTTACGATTCAAATTTTACTTTATCGTAAACGTATCATCTAGTTGTACACACATCTTAGTATTGATGTTTAGAATTTGTAAATAAAATCAACTATCAATCTAGTCAGAGAACACATATGTAAGGAGAGATTGATTATCATTATCAGAAGTATGCTGGCATGAATTGAAGGAAACATGCAAATCTTGTTCATTATTTTTTTTACAGTTTGATAATATGGCTGAATAACTGCAAAGCATAGACAATTTATGCTTATCTTCATCATATGCTGTGATATTGTAATACAAGACAAAAGGCAGGATGGACGCATATATGCTTATTGTAAGAAGTTACAAAGTATTTACACAATACATATACATAGGCTTCAATTGTCCATTTTCATGTTAAAAAGTGTTCTGTAATCTGAACTGTCTACTCGACTGGCCTATAAGTGTTCTACCAACGCCCTCTTTTCGAAAGAACATATAACCATATTAAAATTGAACTGTATTCTGTAGTAGTATTTAATTCGTCTGGTAAAAATTAGTCGACAATATTTTCGTAACCCTATTTTAATGTATAGTGAATTCATTATGACTTTTACCAATTTTTCGAATTTTATAGATGGAATGAAGATATTCAAGTTGATCGAAATGCATCAACAGAAGTAGTCGGTAAGTAGATCTACCTTTTATATTGAATATATATATGAGGTAATTTCACATCAATTTGTGATTCACTTACATTTAAAATAAATCAATATCATATTTCCGGTTATAAACCTTTATATAATTTAATTTTTGCATTCCATTTTTTCATTCATCCATAATGAAATCATTTTAGCGAATATTAATTTGTATATCAAAAATAATTCGTATAGGACTCAGAATGATAGATAACTTCATATTGAAATCATTAAAATGTTTATTATCATCTCTAAATTAGATTAATTTAAGAAATCCAATTTAAGGTGATAACATGTTTGTTTCCTCTACTAGAAACTTGGTATATTGCATAGAAACAATTTTCAAATGATATTCTGTAATTTAAATGATATCGAAGGTACTATACATGAGCAGTGTGAATCAAAATGTTGCTAATATTTGGATTGATAATGAAATTGTATTGGTTGTAATGGATTATTCATTCAAGTAAATTTCTTTTTTTTTTAAAAAAAGAACAGCCTGAAAGTCAACTGCATTTTGTTAGATTCTACAGTTTAAAATTATGAAATAATGTAAAATATAATTTATCATAGTTTAATATTTACATCACTTTTTTTCTAAATTTAACTAAATGATTCTAACAATATTATGGACTTTATGGCGGCTTGCTTGAACATCTGGGCTACCCGTTTCTGCCCTCTAGATATTTCAACAAGTTATCTGTTTTTACTTATTTTAACACATCATTATGTTTATTAATCTCACAACTTATTAAGGTGTGTTAATGAAAAGTTCACAATCTTCCGCTGTACAAGTTGCAAAAAATTCTTATCAGAGACATTGTGATTGCTGGCAAAATTCAGTGAAAATTTATGTATTTATTTGAATCCATAGATATTGGTATAAGGAGATACCAAATACATATGCGCTATACAAACCTTATTCGATTTGTTTGTGAGATGTGATACTACCCGAGTGCCCGAACCGAAGCAGGTGGTTTTCTTAGGGGGCCACACTCGGAACCTTCGACCTAAAGCTTTGATCCACAAGGTAGTGGGTCAACGTCAGGAGATACAGTTCCATTGTAGGCGGTGACCAACAATCGGTTCATACGTCATTTGTTCCTCCAGAATACTGCAGCCCACGTATACCATTGGTTTGAAATCAGGGTTTCCCAACTCCCCTAGGTGAACTTTCCGTGTCCATCAACCAGGTTAAAGCACCGGACATTTACTTTTCGTTCTCTCAATTTCGTAAACAACACCCCCGTCATGGGAAGGCAATGAGTAGAAATTTCCTGGTGGTGACTATATACGCGTGGCCATGTGAGAGCATTTCGAGAAAGAGAGAGAGCTGACTGTTACCACTTTCGATCGTACCAGGGCATTTGGGGGCTATGCTGCTTTCTAGATGGCGACTACTCAATATTTACCGTCAGGATAGACCAAGAATGGAAACTTGCTGAAATACTTTGTACTGAGAATTCTATATTGTACCAAACATATAATATCGAATAAAGCTAATAATAATAAAGATCTAATTTTCAATAAGTTTATCTATAAATTTAATATTTTATTCCATTAATCAAATTTTTGTCATTGAGATTATTGGAATAATAATTTCAATGTTCCATTTGTAAAGAACTGTTCTTATTCACTTTCCAACTTTCGTTTCTAGAATATTCATACAGTTAATCACTAAACAATGAACTGTATGAATAGATCTTAAGATTCCCTCAAATTTGCCATTTATATCACTTCTAATTTTGATCAAGACTCCAGTGTAAATATGATATAATATATATACATACAAGAGTTCTATTTGTAAATAAATGAAAGAATTATGGAATCAATAAAGGTGATTCCTGGAGTTGTAAAGAGAAGTTACACCAATGGAAATCACCCAGCAAAATATAAAGGGCAATTACGGACTAGTCATATTAAAAGATTATTATAATATGTCTCGAGGTGATTGAATTTACAAATGTTAGATGAAGACTCGATGATTTAAAATCTAAGCGCTTGCAAATAGACCTAACTTTTCTAGCTGTCATCCTTAATGGGGTTGTACATTAATATTACTGAGAAGTTCCATCGCGTGCCTATTTTCAGTAAATGTCGTTATCCCATCATATTTGTTCAATTTATGGTGGCTAAATTTATAAAACAGAGTTTTATGATGGGTTTTATTTTCTTTACTTTCAAGATGTTTTTAAGTGATATTCAATATAAAAACAAAATCTCAATAAATTGTCTGTTCATTCCATTATCAAAATGAATGTTATCCATGAAACAACTAATTATTCTACACTAATACTAATGATAATAAAACCTTTGATTTTGATAAACTGTTAAAATACTGCAAAGAATATTTATGTATTTCAATATTTACGGCATTTTGACTTTAATTCAATCAAAAACAAAAAAATATCAGTATAAGGGTCATGAAGATTATTAAGTTTTTGATTGAGATCATGAACCGATTGATGTTAGACCACCATTGGAAACCTGGAAGCACTGGACGGCCATTTTATCTTGTTATGTGACTCAGCAGTGCGCATCCACGTTCCCGCTCACGGGAGCCTTCAGTCTTGCGCGCGAACGCTTAACCTACTGACTACTTAGCCGGCATCCAATGGTGTCAGTGTCTAATATCCACGAAATCGCTGGTGTTTGACACTAACATCATTGGATGCCGGCTCAGTGGTCTAGTGGTTAAGCGCTCTCCCGCGAGACTGATAGTTCCTGGGTCCGAATCCCGTAGATGCGCACTGCTGAGGAGTCCCATATTAGGACGAAACGGCCGTCCAGTGCTTCCAGGTTTCCAACGGTGGTCTAACATCAATCGGTTTACGATCAAAATCAAAAACAAAAAATAGTTGTTATATCAATAAAAAGGCATAGTTGGTTTTGCTTATTGAATAAATTACGAAACAGGAAAATATTTCCACATTTGTAAAAGAAAATAGAACATTTTCAATATTTGTTACATTCGAGCCAATGAATTTAATGCTAATAGAAGATAAAACATTTACGACATGATTAAGTATGATGATGACTAAATATCGGACACTGATTGCCTATTTAGTTTCATTGACAAAAAATCATATGATTAAATTCACTTGGTATTGTTTACTTGAGAATTCCCATTAATGTTTAACACTACAGTAGATTAGTCTGTTATTGGCATATGTGTATACTGTGGGTATTGCCTCGATATTGCCTTAATTTACAAGCTTCATAAGCAAAGATGGATATTGGCTTACAAAGGAACGTAGAATGCGAGTTTCGTCCTATTTGAGACTCATCAGCCGGACGTACCTGCATCTTGGAGTTGGTGTTCACTCCGAAACTTGAACTCAGCACCGTTCGCCTTAAACGCCATCTCATTATTCACTTACCTATGATTGTAATGATATTAATAGTATCCATAGATAAATCAGATCGTACAGTCTATATGTTTGAGTTCTTGGCATTTTTCTAGCCGTAAGAAACAGGCGGCACACTTTGTCTTATATGTAACTCCTCAATATTACATAGTTGTATCTCAGTGTTGATTATCATACTGAGACTCAAATTTGTAACATTTGGATGGTGAGTTCCAAAATAGATGAGATATAAACATATGATTCCAAGATATTATCCATTTCTGATCATTCTAGCTTATATTTAAATGAAAGATCTACTGATAAGATTGTGGAGCATATTACACCCTATAAACTGATTATAGCTTTACATCAGGGAGCAGAAGTATACGCTTATGACTGAAAATTGAGATTGAACCCATTTTCTCCACGGAATAATGATCTGTATGAAACTTTCCAATCGAAGAATATATGGAACTCAAAATAACTGTCAATCAACATCAAAGTCAGAATCTTCAATAAGAACGTCAAAAGCAGTCCTACTATGTGGAACTGAAATGTAGGGAACGATAACAACCATCATCAAGATGGCACAATTATTCAATAACAGTTGTCTATGCAATATACTCAATATCCGTTGGCCGGATACCATCACGAACAGCTTACTGTGGGAGAGAAAAAACAAGCTTCTAGCTGAAAAGAAAACCAGAAAAAGATGTTGGAAGCGATTAATACATACATTATGGAAATCACTAAACTGCATCACGAGGCAAGCACTGACTTAGAATCCTGAAGGGAAACGGAACAGTAGAGGGCCGAAGAACACACTGTGTCGGGAATTGAAATCAGACATGAAAAGCATGAATAGCAACTGGAAAGAGTTGAAAAGGACTGATCAGGACAGGCTTGGATGGAGAATTCTGATATGTGGTCTATGCTCCTCGACAAGGGATAATAAGCGTAAGTATGAAACTTTCCAACCATTAAGTCGATATTCAATACTTCAAATATTGTAACATTAGTCATTCCACGATATATGAAATATGACCATGTAAACTTGTAAAATGAACAAGAACCGGTAATTGAAAATTATTTACATATGGAGATGTATGGTTTAATACAATAAGTATTTTATCAGTTCAATCTTTACCTAAGCTACCGGATATTTTACAACCACACTAATCAATGACTTCTATTTTTATCATGTCTGAAAATTATTCCATGCAAATGAAATGAATCTTTTTTTTCTTAACAAACACACTTATTTCCATAACATAACATAATATTATTTTTTTTTACTGTATACAATAATTATACATCAATTCAACTGGGAAAATTAGATTACTTTTCACATTGATAATCAAACCTCTTATGAAATATTTGATGATCAATGATGTTTATTTATGTAATCACTAAAAAAGCCACTATCGTTTTAATGATAATGTTATAAGGAAATATAATATTTTAAAGATGAAATTATAAAGTTTTATCTTTAGTAACCATCGAAATAAGATTTATATCTAGTGGTCGTTATCATTGTGACTTTAATTTGCCAAATGAAATTGAATACAGTCACATGTGTTCATATATATATATATATATATATATATATATATATATATATATATATATATATATATAACAT